TTTTTTTTAGAGAGTAGAGAGTCTTCGCAAGTAGCTGTATCGGATGGAGCAAACATTTCCGGAGAAAATGAGACGTCTCTGAGCTCTTTACGACATTTTTTCGTGAAACAGCATTCAGTTTACGGAAGGCCCTAGGGCCGCATGTTTCTTCCTTTCCCGTTACGTGTGCTTGTGTATGCGACCTTCCGTAAATTGAATGCTGTTTCACGAAAAAATGCTGTAAAGAGCTCAGAGACGTCTCATTTTCTCCGGAAACGTTTGCTCTACCCGATACAGCTACTTGCGAAGAATTTCTAGATTGAACTCAAGGACTTGTTCGTCTGAGATGTTGCTTTGCAGGAGTTCTGATACAGTTTTTGTATACTGCACGTCAGATCAGAAATTCTTTNCCTATTAACACAAATTGTAGAGTTTTCCAAAGCGCATCGAATGATGCATGAACGATTAGAGATCTCTATCTGCGGAAGAAACTATAATCATTTTGGTAAACTAACAATCATGAGGAATTATCCCATATCATACTCCTCGTGAAAGAACACTTTTACGTGCTTCTGTAAACTTTCTAGCTTGCCATAAATCGAGACTTCACTTTTTCCAGTACATACCGGAAAAGTAATGATGTATCATAGCTGCTGTTTGGGACACTAGAAGTAACCTCTGTTTTGCAGGATCCTGCTCAATCTAGCATTTGTAATGCTCTGTAGTTGATGTGATAGTCTTTTTGAAGTGTTCAAGGAAAAGCTGGTGCGTATACATCAAATATTATTCTGCTAGTAGTCTGGCTCCAGTGTGATTCACCGTAAATTCAAAGCCAAAAGATAAGTTCTAAATTGTTGAGGGTGGAAAATTCGGTAAAACAATGCATCTGCCATAAAAATGTTTTGAAGCTCCAAGAAACAGATCATTCAGGTGCTGATAAACGTTAGTACCAAAGTGACACAGGCTAATGTATGGATTTTTCGGAGCTGATGAATATTTTTCGAAAGTTCATTGCTGCCACATATATATTTTCCTAACAAAACTATGCAACATGTATGCTCGATGTTTTAGAGTCAGAGATGTGGGAAAGAGTGCCGAACACCCAGATATTAATTTGTTACTCAATTATAAAGAAACTAAGAAGAAATACGTTACACAACTTATTCAAGTATTCTGAAACTTTTAGAAAAACATAAGCAAAGATCACATTGATGAGTATCTACATTTTTTCAGTACTATATTTTACGTTACTTACCTGAATGAATTATGCCTACGAGACTAATATCTGTTTCTAGTCAGTTTCTATTTTTCGGTTAAAATCGAAACTGATTTATGCTAGAGAATTTGTACTGGAATCTTTTGAATAACAATAGCAAGAGTTTTCTTTAATCTATTCGAAACGCACGAGCACTCATCGCCCTCACCCCTCACAACTTACTGCCCGTTTGTGAATGATCGTTTGACTAAGCTTATCTTCTTCTTTTGTCAATAGTTCACTTTTTCCAGGAGCCTCATCTTGCAACGAAGGGGGTCGTGTTATGTCAGTCGTCACTGACCTTCCTTTCTCTTTCTCGTGACAGAAAGAGTCGACTCAGTTTTGAGTCAACATTCTTTCTTCATCTACATAAGGGTCAATGTAATACAAAACATTGTGCATCTAGAAAAAAGGCATGTTCTTGAACTCATCCTCACTCACAGAAATTACTAGACTGCCATATTTGAAAAATCAGCTCGAAACTAGATATGAACTGATTTAGTGTCCCAATATTTTCTCAAAATTTATTTTCAACAGAATTAAGCGAGAATAATAGAAAATCTTCAAAAGAACTTTGTGAACATTAAACAACAAAAGCAGTGAGAACGATAAGAAGGTTCGACAATTCGTCTTACGCGTATATGAAGAGAAACAATAGAAGATTCACGAATTGTATATTTCACAACTAACAAGATAATCCATCGATCCGATACCCCCAGTGGCAAGAACTTTGCCTGAATTGAGCAGGGTTGCAGTATGGTACCCGCGTGCTATTGCCATGTTTGTAGCAGAGTTCCATTCTTCCGTTGATGGATCATATATTTCAGAACTATTAAGATAACCGATCGATCCGTAACCCCCAGCGACAAGAACATTGCCCGAATTGAGTAGGGTTCCAGTATGATGCCCACGTGCTATTGCCATCCTTGTGGTAGAGTTCCATTTGCCCGTTGATGGATTATAAATTTCAGAACTACGAAGAATAAAGGATGCATTCAACCCACCAGTAACGAGAACGTTGCCCGAATTGAGCAGGGTTGCAGTATGGTACGCGCGTGCTATTGCCATTCTTGTAGTAGAGTTCCATTGGCCCGTTGATGGATCATATATTTCAGAACTATTAAGAGAATCGGTCGATTCGTAACCCCCAGTGACAAGAACTTTGCCCGATTTGAGCAGGATTGCAGTATGTGAATATCGTGCTTGTATCATACTTGTAGTAGGGGCCCAGCTGCCTATTGATGGATCATATATTTCAGAACTGTCAAGACTGGCGGTTGATATGGCACCCCCAGCCACAAGAACTTTGCCCGAATTGAGCAGGGTTGCAGTATGGAACATACGTGCTCTTGCCATGCTTGTAGTAGGGCTCCAGTTGCTCGTTGAAGGATCATATATTTCGGAACTGGCAAGATACCCGGTTGCTCCGTAACCCCCAGCAATAAGAACTTTGCCTGAATTGAGCAGGGTTTCAGTATGAGATACACGTCCTAGTGCCATGCTTGCAGTAGAGTTCCATTCGTCCGTTGATGGATCATACATTTCAGAACTGACAAGATACCCGGTTGCTCCGTAACCCCCAGCAATAAGAACTTTGCCCGAATTGAGCAGGGCTGCAGTATGAGATAAACGTCCTAGTGCCATGCTTGCAGCAGAGTTCCATTGGTCTTAAGAAGACATAGTTATAATAGATATTAGTATAAAACAACCTGTATTCGAAGTTCTTTCAAGTCATTCAAAGTTTCGTTTCCTATCGAATGTTTCAGCATGTAGAGCTAATCGGAGCATTATTTATATTTCAATTATCGTGTTATAGAGCAGTCTTTATATCAAAGATATCTACTGTCAGGTGAAGAGCGGTGAAAGTTTTCAGAATGCAGTGTGCACTGCTCAGTCAGTTTTAGCGAAATTCGATGCACGGGTCACACCCAAAAGCCTTCAAGATCCTTGTTTGAAAATATCAGTGAAGCTACCTGAACACGTGCTACCATTTTGATAAGAATTTGTGCAAACAGCTAATAAGAAAATTTAACCGATTACTCGGCATCAAATGATCATGGAAGATCATCTTACTCGTCGAAGTTTGAGTTGTTCCATCGGTTGCTGCGAACAATATTGGTTGAGTTGTGGTAATAGTGATTCGCGAAGTAGCACCAGTCGACATTCGATTCGCTAGGATAAAATTTTTGAAAGGAAAGAAGATAACGAAGAAGAGTCGGGTACAAAACAGCCATCAAAAATAGTTTTCAGATGACTAATCACAAGATCTGTTAGTAAATAATTTACAATTAAGGTGTGAATAACTTTTGAGTTACGTACTTGATTTTCTTGTCAAAACTAGCACCAGACTTATGGTAACAACAAGCGTTATACCAATCAACATAATTATGAGTATCCAATGCTTCTTGTTCAGTTGGCGTATAAGTCTAGAATACTCTGAGTCTGCTGGCGCAACCTGTGGCATTACACTATTTTATGAATCAAACCGTAAACGTTCTAAAACAGAAACAAAAGTAATGATATGCTGTTCGTTCTTCCTCAAAGCGATGATTGTGAAAAGAAAACAGGCTTTTATTCTTAGCACGATGCCTAGTTTCGTCCAAAATTTAACGGTTTCAATTCAAATTCGAAAAGCTATTCGTGTATACTTTCAAGATGAGATGGCTAATACTTCAGATGCTGAACATGTTTGCAATAATAAATTTAAATACGTTCGCGTCACATTGAAGGAAAGAATACATATAGTTTTCTCTAGATAGGCAATGAAATTAATGAATTAGTTCTCCAATAACCTCTCATCAAATTAACGAGCAAACTATATGTTGAACGGAAAGTGTGTACGCCAGGCCAGCTAAAGACAACCTTTGAATGGAGAACGTTCAGAAAACGCTCTTTATCAAACTTAACCGAAACACATATCATTAGATGCAGCTTTACAACTACATATGAAGAACACTAGGTGTTTAACTCTTTATAAAACATTAACGAATTTGAATGTGTTAGCAGTTGTTGACGAATTGAAACGTACTGAACTTTTTAGCCATCAAAATGTGAAAATCTTGTTAATGAGCTAAACACACGTTTGGGTCCATTTAATTTTAACGCAGAAATGCCTTAAAAAGTGTAATGTGAGACCAAAACATGTTTTTACTAAGGTCAATGCTTTAAAGACACCATTTTGATAAGCTTTAACTATTTTTAATGACTTTTCAACTTCTAGTACGCAAAAGGACATGTCTACTTTCTCTTTAAAAATGGTGGAAAGAGTTATTACACATGCAAAAGCACTTGAGTCAGCGTTTTAGAAAAATGACATCTTGTTTCGTCATTTTCTACCTCATTTCGATAGAGCTTATATCTAATAGGAATATGTATGATTCTTATACATTTCTTCATTTTACTTTATGAACCGGTAAGCGATCCTGAAGCAGAGATGCAACCGGTACCGGTATGAATTATAACGCCGATCGGTATACCGGCACTAGTGTGAAGTATAATCAGTCGGCCGATATTGCTGGTGTTTTGCGGTATGATACGATTTTTTTCGAAAAACATCGTGTAAATTCAGTTCATCTGTGACATATTTCTTCTATCAAAATTTCATTCTAATTACTTACGCTTTGTCGGCTTATATAAACTTCTTAATTTAAAAGATTGGAAAAGATCCCTTGTCTTGCGGTCAAAAAAGCTTTGCAAAAAGAAATAGTTCTTTATGCGCCAGACGTTATATTAAAAATATGTTCTCAAAAAACTCAGAACAAGTACCCATAAATTCTTACATGTTCAACGAACAAAATTTATTCTTCAAGAAAAGCAACAACAGATAATCAGTAAATGTGGCATCTATTCGAGAAAAGAAGCAACATTTTTATTATTATCATTTTTTCTGGTTGACAATATTCAGTTATAATTGAAACACATTTGTTGAGTTCTCGTTAATACAGATTTATTCATCGATATAATTAAAACTGTAACAATAATATTAATAAAACTACTGATAGGGGCACATTTGCAAATAACTATGATTATTTTTAAGATTGAGAAGAAAACAGGTTCAAATACTTGTATGCACCCTAATTTCATTATGAATTTTCATTTGGTTCGGTTTTATTAATAGTGATTAAAAAGCTCATTTTCAATTATCAGTACTCTTTTTTAAAACGATGTCAAAACACTCTATGTAGGATGAATGTTTCTTTTCTTCTAAAATATCCGATAATTCTCATTGTACAGCGTCTACTACTACTAAATGCTACTGGTCAACGAGGGGCAAATTAAGCTCCCACACTTATTACTTTACTTCTTCAGCTACGTTTGTAATATTCCTTCTTAGAAGCAGTTTATAGGAAAGAAGTTGAACGAATATTACTCCAGAGTAACGAACGACTGTCTTATTTAACATCGAATATACACATACAAAAAAGAGTGGAAAGTTCTGTGTGTTGATATTCAAAATATATTTCGTTGATAAGTCTTTTTGAAAGACGTATGTTCCAATATTTCAACATGCGCCTTACTCTAAAACTAATTTACAGAGGAAAATATCAGTTTATATGAAGATGTTCATTACAATACCTGTGAGTGAACTTAAGGGCCCCCCACCCCTCAAAAAAAGCATTTTTCGACAAAAAAATCGATTTGGGCATTTATGCATAGTTGTATAGCCCAATATATCTGCTTTGGAATGCACTATGATTTATTGTTTTTACGATGGTTTTTGGGGGCTTTACAGTGGTTTTTCTGAGGCACCCAACATCAAAAACTGATTGATTTTTTATGGTTTTTCCGTGGCAATAATGCTTACATATGGGAAAAAGTACGTCGCACATGTCTCTACATGTGCTCATTCGATTCGCCATAGCCGATAACCTACGACGAACTGCTCTCAGTTCTTTCCCTGTACCACTTTCCAAAACAAACCGCGATAATCAAAGGAGAAACTTGTTTTGCGTTTTTCTCGAAACTGTTTTTTTTGTTTTACCTGATTGTGCGTCAAAGATTTCTCCACCATTTTAAATGCTAGAAAGCTCGGGAATGTTTTAAAATGAAGCTAAAGCTCAGCGATATAACCTAACAAAGCCAGAATTTTTGTTTTCAATGTAGTTTTTTACAAAAAAATCAAGTTTTCTAAAAGGTAAAAGTCTTTAAAAAGGCCTTAAGACATTTAATGTGAGAGAAAATATTATATCAGCAAAATTAACCCAAGATAAAATAATATTCAAGGTTCATGAAAATAGAATGAAAGAGAAGTGTTTATTATTCTCATTAAATATTTAAGACGTAAAATCGTAAAGACGTAAAATCGTAAAGACATAAAGAACTATGGAAAACAAGATTTTGTCATAAAACAAGGAGAAAAAAGATTATCGTATTTCTATTATTTATTTCTATTATTGGTGTCAAAAAGCAGCGCACGTCGAAAACTGGATAGTGTGTCATAAAACTTGTTGTTAATATTTTTTATCAAAATAAACATAAAACGAAATAATCGAAAAAATAATTGACTTAACTTGAGACTCGAAAACACCGGTAACTCGACTAGAAAGTATTTCAAAATGACTCTGACTCGAGTCGAATCGACTCAAAAAATGGCTTGATACGCTCATCCCTGGAAAGTTTCCTAACAACCGAACAAGGCATGCTCATGCAATACTCTAGGGCAGATGTCGTTTCAGCTTCATAGTGCGTTTATTCAGAGCAGCTGATGTATTCAAACATATTCTGTCGATAATTATACAGTTTATATTTTATCTTTATGTTACAAAGGCTAAAAAAGTACGGGTACGTTTGTGAAAAGAAGGATAAGGCCTTGTCTAGACTACACTCTTTTCTCACTTGAGTATTATCTTAAGCCATGTCGAGCACACGACTTAAGGGTACTTCTACTCGACAATCACACCCCTATTCAGCGACTGATTATATTAGCCATATAACAGAACAAGAAAAAAAAACTATTGGTTGAAATATATATATTTCCAGATTTTCAAAAGGTTCAAGGATTAAAATTTTGTACTTTTTTTTTGGTTTATCTTTCTATGTTTCTTATTGTTTTTCTTCGTTTTTCCCTCGTTTTTCTACTGTTTTTCGTCGTTTTTTATGACGTTCATTTTATGTCTCTGTTCGTCTTTTGTACATAGCAAATGCTCTTTGTTAGTTATTATTTAATTCGTTTACTAGTTGTAATTAATTGGAACCTGTCAGTGTTATCTATTATAGCTTTCTATAACTAAAGTCATCTATTACTTGCGTTCTTAATTCCTTCTTTTGTTTATCCAATAATATATATATTTCAACCAATAGTTTTTTTTTCTTGTTCTGTTATATAACTAATATAATTAGTCGCTAGATAGGGGTGTGATTGTCGTGTAGAAGTACCCATCTCTATTATGGTACAAGGTAACGTTCGTCTCCACTCGCTCGGTCCCTTCACTTTAATAACCTGGATCTGCGCTACTGAACGCGCTTTTGTGATTTTTAAATCGAAGACAATGCTCACGCCTCCCTTCGGTCGGCGCTCGCTGAGGGCCTGACTAAGCCATCTTCTTGATGTTTTTCTTTTTTCATGTGTAAGGTTCGTAAATATACAAGGCAAAAAGTCCCAGAAGTCTAAAAATATTTCTGAACTCACAGCAATGCTCACG